TGTGTGTGTGTGTGTGTGTGTGTGTGTGTGTGTGTGTGCGTGGGTGTGTGTGCACGCGCAGCCTGTGCGGGTACCCGCCGTTCCACGAGAACTTCTCGGAGCTGTCAGTGAGCGAGCAGATCATGCAAGGCCAGTTCACGATGGTGCCGTCCAAGTGGCAGCACGTGTCCGACCAGGGTGACCTCCTCATCTTCATCCTCTTCATCGCCCCCCTTCACCGTCATGGTCATGGGGTCTCATGCCTGCGCCTGCATGTGTGTGACAGCCAAGGACGTGGTGAGGAAGCTTCTGGTGGTGGCGCCTGCTAACAGGATGAGCATCGATGAGGCGCTCCAGCACGCTTGGATGCAGGTCCTCTTCGTCGCAGTGACAACCGTCGTCAGCACCAACAGCGTGATGGAAATTCCAACCGGAGTGTGTTTATTGTGTGTGTGTGTGCGTGTGTGTGTGTGTGTGTGTGTGTGTGTGCGCGCGCGCGCATGTAGGACCCCGTAATGTTGGAGAAAGCCCATCGACTGATGTATCCATCTTCTGATGCTGAGGATGTTGCCATGGTAACCACACACACAGAGTTCTTCCTCAACTCCAAATGTTGGGAGCGAAATGCTAACTTCCCAAAAATGTTGTTATGATTTACAACACCAAGTAGTGCTATACATGAATTCGTGGTGACTCCAATTGAGATGCAAATTAGCCATTAAAAAAAAATCAATTACATTTTGGAATGAATGATTTCCTGTTGTGGCACAGATTGAATGACAACTTGGTATGTGTGTGGAGTGCACAAGCGTTGTTTGAAGGTAGGCGGCGGGCTCCTCAAGCGAGATCCGAGATCTGTTTGCCCAGCATGAAGCGTATCGACACCTCTTTCGTTACTTTGTTGTCGTAGCAACAAACGAAGGGAGACATACTCCCCAAGAGGTTATGATGCAACGAATCACAAATGGCGATGATGGATGCCAGTCCCGCCCTGCTACCAACCATTAAGAATTGTTTGTGATGGCAGGAAGCCGGGCCAGCGCCGTCGTCGTCAAGGAAACGACTGCGAGAAGACCCGGATGACGAGGGACGTCCTGCCAAACAAGCCCCGCCCACTGGCATGCAATAAGGCACATGTAAATGTTCTCCAATAAAGTCAGATTTATTCTTTTTTTTTACACGAACCATTTCATGACATCACTTACTTGTCATGGCGACCTGTTTTCAACACTGGCACAAAACACTGACTGAGCCTTCACATGTTGGGGATGAATGCCTTATTTGGTAACTCTGGCCAACAGCCATCAGCCACTTGGCAGGGAAGAACATGAGCCTTCACTTCTGATGAGCATCACACACATGGCTCAAGTTGGTGTATTTTTTATCTTTGTGTTATGAGGCAAAACGTGACTCTCAGGGACTAGGATGATTTGGCAAGCGGGCGGAGTGAGCACTCCCTGGCCAGTTCATGGATTGAATGCAACTAACGTTTTTTTTAAACATTTATTTTTTTGTGCATGCAAATACTTCATGTTTTCTTTTTGTAATTTCTCCCCTCCAATTTTGCTGCTGTAGATTGCGAATTTCTCCATTGTGAGACAAATAAAGGTTTTATTTTTTTTAAACATGCAAAATGACAACACTGACATTTATGCTGCTGGAAGTCACAAATCACACCTGTATTTACTCGCCACGTGACTGATGTCTCGTTCACTCGTTCGTTAATTATGACAAGCCAGCTCAATTTATGAGGTGAGTGTCGTTGGCTTGGGAGTTTTACTTGCTGCCACTGTAAAAAAAAAAAAAAAACTTGCTGCCACTGTACTCTTCCGTATTCCGGCCCGTTAGGTGGCGGCAGTCCACCTATAAGCTGCTTGAAGTCCTCCCCGCCACAAGGAGGCAATGAAGGCGAACAGGTCGGATGTAATGGCGCAAGCCGGTCCCGCAGTTTGACTATAACAGGCACAATCAAGGTAAGGTAATAGTGGATGACAGTCGCGTCAAAAATTTATTTCAAACGTGTTGGTTTCACTCGTTTGTCAAAAAGGACCGCGAAAGCGTGCCGGTTGGTTCTGCCGTCTGTCCACTACCGAGTTACCGACCGCAAGCCCAGACCCGCCTAGAAAAACATCTCAAATATTAGCGTCAAGGGTTATTAGCACAGTAAATCTCGACATGCCTGTCTAATAGATCGTCATTCGGAAACTGCAAAAGTGTGGCGTCTTTTCGGCTCCCTTGTAAGTTATTGAAAGTGTTCAGTAAAACAGGTTTGGATCAAATGTTCTCACGAAGACGTCACTTGGCATACACGACCAATGGACACATTTTCAACGTTGTCGCGGTTCAAACATTGCGACGACGACTCCCATTTCGAAAGAATTGTTTGTATTTGGACATTGTTTCAGCTCCACATACAGTCTCGCTCCATCATTTATGCATTTTTTTTTTGCCTTTCTACATCCCCAAATTTGTTTTTTCTTGAAGCATTTTCTGTAAATTACTTGGTATCATTCTATCAAACTTAAATTACAAACACTTTTAATGCATGCAAAAAGTGCAATTCAAACTGCTTTTCAAACAAATCTAAATCAATCGCTTTGGAACATGTTTGAAATTGTACTTGAACCTACTTTAAACGTAGTCACGTGTGAAATCTACCAATCAAAATGCAATGGCTGCACCTGCTTTATGGAAGATGGGGCTGGCTGCACCTGCTTTATGGAAGATGGGGCTGGCTGCATTCCCCAGGCCCTGCCTCCAGAAATGTCATTTTTCTTCTTTCTCAAACGAAGAATAGAAATCCTGACATGGGTTGAAGTGCTATCTAAATTATGGCAATACTTGAAGACGGCATATTTATTCCAAAATAGAATCCGAAACAAATCAAAAATGAACATTAGCGTGTCACAGCACGCGCAGCCTTCATGATGATGACATCATCAGTAAAAAATAGCCAAGATGGCGCTTTACGTAGTATGTCATTATTTTGATACTTTCTTGGCTTAGTTTTATTTATTTTTATTTTTTTCAGGAAATGAGATGCCGTTGTTATTTGCACTGTTACGAGACTGAATGTTCAGTGGTATGTCTCTATAAATACGTTCAAAGGTCGTTGCAACAGAGCTGAGGAGACTGCCGCCATGCTGACCAATAGCAATGAGGGTGCAGGGTCACATGATCAACCAGCAACAGACTGTGCTGCTCTTGGAGGTGTGACACAGCGAACATGTTGGCTCTTGTCAACTTTGATTACATAATTGTGTGTGTGTGTGCCTGTGTGTCCATCAGATGGTGTTTGCCCTCCTGAACAGCAGGAGGCTGTAGAACGTCACGATGCCAACACAACTTCCCAGGTGATTCAAACGTCCTCGCAATGTTGTCGGGGCTCTTGCGTGGACTAAACCTGTGTGTGTGTGTGTGTGTGTGTGTGTGTGTGTGTGTGTGTGTGTGTGTGTGTGTGTGTGTGTGTACATGTACGTGCGGGCAAGCTCAAGAGCGCGTGTTCCCTGGAGGTGACCATCCAGCAGTACGGCGACAGTCGCGAGTTCAAGATGGCCGGGGAGAAGCGGGCGGCACCAGGGTCGGGGCTTCATTGCCACATGTGCGGAGTCACATGTCACTCCATGGAGGTGAGGACACGCCCCCTCCTAGCAACTCAACAATGGTGTGCCTCCATGACCCACGTCAGAAAAAAGACCTTTGGACGGGATTTCCTTAACAGCAACTGTGGGGAAGGCAGTTGGGAGGGAAGAGTCAGTTGTCTGGACACCAAATCCATATTTTGCCACTCTTACCCTCCAACCTTGTCCCTTGTGCAAACTGACACCATCATTCACTCTGTGTGTGCGTGTTTAGATGTTTGTCGAACACATGGGCGGCTCAGATCACATGGCCAAATGGAAGGAGATCACACACTCCGTCAGCATCATCACACACACAATCACAAACAGGTAGGACTGCACTCTTCTTACACACACACACACACACACACACACACACACACGTGCTCTGTGATGACATAGTGTCCACGTTCGTCAAGCAGAAGGCGCCGCTGGTGTGACACGTGTCAGAGTCACTTTAGCGATGATGTCATCAGCCATCGTCGAACTAAACAACACAAAGTGAGTTCATCACATCACTCTGGTCATGTGTGTTACAGCATGTGCACGTGTCCGTGTGTCCGTGTGTGTGTGTGTGTGGGTGTGTCTGTGTGTGTGTGTGTGTGTGTGTGTGTCTGTCTCTTTGTGTGTGTGTCTGTCCACTTGGTGTATGCCTGTGTACTTGCGTCTAAGTGTGCGTTGTGTTTTGTTTGTGTCTCTATCCATGTGTGTGCCTGTATGTACATGGCACATGTGACCATGTGTGTGCATCCGTGCAGGAGCGCAAGCGTGCGTCGCGGCCGTTCTGCGCGGCGTGCCGCCGTCACTTGAAGACTCCCCGGAAATTTGTGGAGCACATGAAGTCCGACAAGCACAAGCGAGAGGTCAGAGGTCGTCCGTCTGTCTGTCTGTCCGGTCGCCTGCGTGACGCCCGCGCGACCAGTGAGTGTGCGCCTATTTTGGCAGGTATGCGTGAAGAAGGCTCAGGAGGAGGAGCTCATCACCGTGGATGCCATTGGCTGCTTTGAGGAGGAGGCGGAGCCAAAGCAAGAAGTGGAATTAGGACCGGAGGAAGAGAAGGCAGCCGCTTGACAGGTGGCCTATTTTCAAACTGGCATCAGCGCCAAATTGCTCCTTTTGTCTGTGTTGTGGCCAAGCCATCCAGGCAGCCATTTTGTCAGGTCCTCCCCCGCCTTTCTGATTTACTGCATGCGGTCATGCAATTTGCCTGAAATGACTTTCATTCCACGCGCGATACTTCGTTCCTACATTTGAGTGGCTTTTTTACCACATGACATCGTTTTCCCCTTTTTGGGCAAAGGGAGCCAGTTCATGTCATCCGCCCACAGTCGTGAAAAGTTGTTTTGGCTTTTGGCTGCAAACACTTCCTGGTCTCAGTAGGTGGCAATGTTGCATCATTTTGGATTAGACGCCAGCGCCGCTCTGGAGGCCAACAGGAGCAATAGGCAGACTCTTGCTCTTGTTTCTATGGTGGCTGCGTTGCTCATCTTGTCAGCGAAGACGACATTCTGTGTCTCCTGAAAGTTTTGTGCAAATGCTGCCGGTCGATGTCAGTCTGCAGCTGGGCAAGCAGAGCCCCACTCGCCCTTCCCTCAACATGATAAACAGGAGCAGCCGCTCGCTAAGCCACGCCTCTCAAAGGTGCACACTCAACACGAGTGAAGCTGTATTCCACTGAGAATGTTTTGGGGGGGAGAGATGTTTTTGGAGATAAGAAGTTGTATGTTTTAAATATTATTCATACGTTTTATTTTTAAATGACAGAAAGTTCCGATCTTTGGAGAATCCGATTTGGGAATCAAACTGCGGCACGCTTTTCATTTGGCTGCGTGAAAAGACGTCATATTCCTGTGCTCTGCGCGGACCCTTTCCCGTCCAGCTGGGGGCGCTGTCTTACCAGAAAATGATCCCGTTTCTTCCCAAATATTTTCCTTTGCATCCAGCCGGTTTCGCGACGCTCATTTGACAGAATCAAGTCATGAGAAATGGAAAAAATGAACGATGAGGAAAAACGATTGAGAAAAAAAAACATGTCAGTTACCATTGAGAATTGGTCTTTATTTTTCCACCGCTTTCTGAGTAAAACATTATAAAAATCTCTTCTACTTGCTTGATTTATAAACAAACATAAACGATTGATTATTTAAAAAAAAAAAAAACAGTCATCAATGAAGTCTTACTAGAAAGCACACAAAAGGCGAAATTCATGGCGCCACCAAATCCTCATTTGGTTTAACGCTACCAGCAACGAAATCTCCTCCGGAGGGTGTGTGTGTGTGTGTGTGTGTGTGTGTGTGTGTGTGTGTGTGTGTGTGTGTGTGTGTGTGTGTGTGTGTGTGTGTTTTTACCGATGCTACCAAACCCGTTAGGACAAGATGGAAGGAAGACACTCGCATCCGACTGTGCGTGTGAGTTTTTCTGAGGTTTTCACCGCACACGTCAAGGACACACGACAAAAACACACTGCATGATGACTTATTGATTGGCCCAAAAAGCAGACGCAGACGCGTGCGTAACCTTGGCCACTTGGACTTTCATTCGAGAACTATTTGGAAATGGGGGGGGGGGGGGTATCGACCTTATCCAGAGCTGACTTGTTGCTCATACTCCCACAACCAAGAAGCAGAAATCGTCACCTGGGAAGGAAATTTGCGCATGGCATCATCCAGTCCTCTCGTTGTGATTGATCGGATGCAATGAAATAGTTTTGCCCTGAAAATGTTTTTTTTTCTTTTTTCAGAGCGGTTTTCCAAATGCCCAAACCCCCAACCCCACCCCACCCGATAAAAGCTCAGCTGCCGCGAGGTCACCAAAGTGCCTCAAATGAGCTCCTGACGAGCCTTGTCATTCTCTTGAGCTCCATTTGAATGGACGCTCGCTCGCTTGCGTCTTTTGTCATTGACGAACCATTAAAGTCCAAGGACGCACCCTTGCCATGCTTGGCGGGCACGCGCGCTCGCGCGCCTTCTTCCCTCCTCAACGAACAAGCATGCAGGTGACTGTTGATGCTCTCACTGCGCTACTTGACTTTTGCCTCTTGCTCCTATTTTCAAGTCCGCCTTCGAAAACCACACAATTTGTGTGGGTCTTTACGTTCCTGTCAGGTTATATTCATCAAGGCGGCGTGTGTGTGTGTGTGTGTGTGTGTGTGTGTGTGTGTGTGTGTGTGTGTGT